TTCAATAAGCAATCCTGAAAAATATTTGGGGGTGCTTAACTTTTTTCCAGGTGTATATTATTTTATGTATTTTTTCGAAGTTGATAGTGCCTCCAATGGTGCAGTTGTTTGGAGAAACTGGACAACAAACTGTTGATAATATGATGCAAAACCTAATAATCTTTATTAGTCTCATATTGGGACCTTAACTACTGTGATCTTCAGTGAATGAATGAGAACTTCATCCCTACCTTCTATATGACCAAGAGAATCCACTTTTGTGATAACGGGTGACTGTTTTCCAATACAATTCCCATCTGGTCCCATGAATACACAAACAAACTTCCTGAGCAGTTCACTTAATCCATGTCTCTGTGTTCAGCTCTGATAATTAGCAGAATCCACAACTTCAGATGCTTTGGAAGTTGCAAATTCATTCTTATTCGTGGTAAAGTGGATGTAACATAAGATTTTCAGTTTCTTTGTGTCACCTCCATTTTGTCACTGTGCCAATGATTATTCCAGCTTGGAGTTGAATATTTGTTGTTACATATTAGCATTGGAACATTATCCATGCATAGGCAAATTTGTGTTCGAGTTGGTTCAGCCTTCTTTAAATTGCTTTATCACTGCAGCAGAAAACTACAATGCATTAGACTACGTACATAGTACACCATGAAACACCATTTGCAACATTTGATAGTATCACTACCTCCTTCTTAACATGCATGCAGTTCACATTTTTGGACCCAGTCTGGTCGGAACTGTATGGTTTACCAGGAAGATGCTAACTACGTGCAGATCATTTGTATGAAAATATAGAAAAACAACAACTAGATGACATCTAATTATATATTCTATATTATTTATAAAAGGGTAAAATATGATGATACTAATTTCATCATACCTGCTTCCTAATATATAGGTAATAATCATAATATATTTCTCTTATCTGACCACTAGTTAATAATCTCACCTCAGACTTTTTATACTCTGAGGCCAGTAAAACCTTATCACTCAATAAAAAAATAAATATATATCTTACTGAAATATGATGTAGTATTTGAGAGCCTAAGTTAATATAAATCTAAGGATATGAAAATGGTATAATTGCGCATATGATTAATTGAAGATAAAATTTTCAAAGATTCTTATATTACTTTTATACCTCTTGTGAGATAAAATATGTTAAAAACCACCTTTGTATTAACTAGTATGTTAAAAACCATCCTTGTATTAGCTAGACATCTAAAGGGGCATCAAATCTTGGGAAACTTAAGATTCGTTCTTCAATGGGCATATAGTATGTAACCAAGTTTTTTAATTAAAAGATTTAAAGATTGTAATATCTTTATGGAACACTTATAGAATTATTTGGTGATAATGATGATATATGAGTTTATATTTTGTAACTCGGTAAAAATTATATTTGTTATATATATATATATATTCCTGCAGTATTACCAAAAGTATTGGTACAACACGTATTGAGAAAAGGCTTTTGCTTTTGAGCCGTCATTGTACTAAGGCGTAGGCCCATATTTCATTCTAATCTCAGCCTGCACTGTGTTATTATCACTTGTCACCAATCGTTTTCCTATCTCTTGTGTTCCTCCAACAGCGCACCAAACTGTTCCAGAATATTTCAGTTTGACTCATGTCAGGACACTAGGCTCCCCAAAGCAGATTGTGATCGTTATCTTCTTCAAAGTAGTCTTAGACATAGTGTGTATTATCATTCTAAAACGTCTTCGTGTATTCCATGAATCAGTAATGTTCATAATACCACAGTATGAGAAAACATTTATTGTTTCCTTAACTTTTACGAGTGTACAAAATCAAGATTACTTAAAACCAAGTCTACATCACTTTTCACAGTCATACCCAAATATTTTTCAAGTTGTCTGCATAGTCATGCTTGTCTGGCCAAATCAAGCAACAAATCAACCATTTCACGTATATGTTTTCATCAGTTATCAAGCAACGAATCAACCATTTCACGTATATGTCTTCATCAATTTTCTCCCCGGTCTCCAACCCTCGAGGCACCATAATAGTTGACACTAACATTTCTTTTAATCCTGCAAGATAGAGATCTTTCTGTGTAGTTAATACGCTGGCTTGCAATCCTCATTTCAGTTTTGGATAAATGTTTTTTTCATAACGTGTTTCATAACATCATGCAAATAATTACTAATACGTTGTTTTCAAATCGATATTTTACTGATGCACGTACCTTGTTCTTCAGTAAATTACCAGTAACAGATTTGAATTCTACTGAAAGGACACTCAAATCACAAAATGCTGCATTTGATAACCATTCATTTTTAAAAATCTGTTTTCTTTTTATCATGGCACATTGACTTCAATAACTGTTTGAATCAGCTGCTGACATTTATAATCCTGCCATGGAATTCTTTTGAAACAGATCAATTACTAAATGAGATTATTCTGTCACAACAGTCCCCCTGTGGGACAGTGATAAGTTTACGGACTTAAACGCTGAAAGTAGGAGTTCGATTCCCCACGGTGAACATAGCAGATAGCCCAATGTGGTTTTGTTCTAAACCAAACAACAATAGCAATTGTCACAATAAGTGACACCGATGACACAGAAAATAAATATCAATACATTATTGTTAAATCTTAATATACATATATTGAGTCAAACCATACCGCATTAAACAAAATTAGGCCTAATTTCTTTTTGCCTCTTTTTTTTATTTATTTCAAAGTTTTGCAGACAGCGATACTCAATATCTGTACAAAAGAGTAATGGAAGAGGACAACGAAAACATAACAAAAAGCTTCTTCAAGAATGTTGTTGAAGAAATTAATGAAAGAAAAGCCGCGAGGATGTCATCAGCTACCTACGTTCCAGTGTCTAGTCCAACAAATGTTGAAGATAAACCAACTGAGGATTCTCTAATTGAACTAGCAGAAGATAAGCACGACGGTAACGTCAACAATGATAATCCGATTGTAGACGGTAACGTCTCCAGCAAAACAAATGTTATGGAGAGCACATTACCACAGCCAGATTATCCATCTATTGATAATACCGATGTTACTGATAGTGCTAACAATGACGACGGCCAAAACGTTGCGGTTGACACGGAGTCAGCTGATGATACTGATGACAACATAAATGATCCAAACAACCAGAACAGAAAGAAATCGGTAGTTACGTTTAATGAGGAATTAGAAGTAATCACCTACGATAATAAGCAATGAAGATGGTTCCAGTGAAAAAAATGTGGAAACCTCTCTTAATTTTCACATGCAAATTCTGATCACTGAATAAATTAATTTTTACGTAACAAAATTATAACCTTCAAAAATAATAGAGTATTGCAATATGTTGAATATAAACTAAAGTAATGTTTCAAGAAAGACGAAATCAAGCAAATAACTGAAAACGTCAGTCATTACTGATTAATGGAAATATAATTAAAAATTGTATATTTTCAGGATGAATAATGGCGTAAAGTTAGCAAAAGTATCATAACGATTGTTGAAAGGATGAACTGCTGTTTTGCAGAATGTTTAATTTCAAGAACAATGTCAATAATTTCCATAACAATTGTCATAATTACAGACTAGTTGAAAGTTTCAGTGGTGTGATAACTTGTCCTTATGTATACTTTGCAAAACACACTTGCAAGATAGGTTACTACGATGTGTTTCAGGTGTATCTTGTTTGTACTTTGTAAAACACACTTGCAAGATAGGTTACTACGATGTGTTTCAGGTATATCTTGTTTGTACTTTGTAAAACACACTTGCAAGATAGGTTACTACGATGTGTTTCAGGTATATCTTGTTTGTACTTTGTAAAACACACTTGCAAGATAGGTTACTACGATGTGTTTCAGGAAGTTATTATTACTTATATTCGTCAGCATTTGCTCTTTAGTGATTGCATAATTTAGATTTTGAAAATATGTACTATATAAAACTGATTTAACTATCTTCATAGGTATTTAAATGTAAGGATTCTTAATTATTGTCATTGTTTCAATGTTCTTTTATTTGACCTTTAAAATGGAGAAGCAATACTTTAATTAATGAATAAAATATAGGAACTTCTTATTAATTGTAGTTGTTATTACATTCGTGTATGAGTTAACTTTAGTTAACTTATCGTTTTATTGACATTTATAACGCTGTAATTAAATATGACGTGAAATTAAAATAAATTGTTGATTTATGTAACTCTACGGAAAATCCTTTGTTCTTTAATAGTGTAACTTTACTGTTGATAATAAGGCTGTTCTGTTATCCATATAAATCAACTTATTTTGTTATAACATGTGAATTTTTATATTATGTTTCTATTATCATGAACGCTATTAAAATCAGATATTGATCAAAATTAAACATTTTATGGATGGTGAAATAACTTAGGTAATATTCTGAAACTTAGATTTTACATTGAAAATAAAGTGACAGTTTCTTATATGTTACTTTGATATTGTTAAATAATGTTACTTTAAAGTTGTCGTTTTCGTTTCACAAAACTTCATGTTAATACTCATAATGAAGAAAAGAGAAATAATGACGAAGTAAAAAAATACAAATATTTGCATAAAAGACGTGTTTGATAAGTAAACGACACTGAAAATGAAATTGCCCCTTCCCCCAATGACACAGCGTTAAGTCTGAAGGTTTACAACACCAAAATCCGGGTTTCGGCACCCGTGGTGATCAGAGCACAGATATCCCATTGTACAGCTGTGTGCAAATGAAATTAATAAAAAAAGATTTACATTCATAGATGTAATAAAAGCATAAATAATCACTACAGTATTTTTATTATTCTTGTAATAAGAACCAAAGTGTTTTGCATAATATTAAATCTGAATTAATAACAGATTTTGATTTTATAAATACGACTTTGTGAGGAAGTTTCACGTTACAACCATATATTACCAAAAAGCTCCTGATAAAATCGTATAAGGAAAAACGTTATAAATCAGTAATAATGTGATATTTTTTATAAAATAACAAAAATTTATTAGAGTTTCAAACCAATGAAAATCGTTGTTTTCATTGTTCTAAATTTTCTTGAAACACAATATTCAAATCTGCTCTCAGATTGTTGTACTCTTATGTATGTATATATATATATATATATATTAAGCAAGTAACACACACACACACATATATATATATATATATTAAGCAAATAACA